AAATAAATAGAAAGAAACCCACAAACTTCATATCCTCCCTGTGCTCCTGAGTGTGTGTAAATTTACTCATAGGAAGACTAACTAACGTAAACCATGACTGATCGACTTCAAATCCTATAATTCGCCTGGATTACTGAACTTCGATAACTTTGATATATTGAACATACTGTCAAGTTTAAACTGATTATTTAGTATTGACATTTACAGCATTTAGAAGATGTCTTTATCCAGAGCGACTTATAGTCTTTAAGTGCTTTGTAGTCTCTATCAAAAACACATCCTCGTGCTAGTTCACTAGGTCAGGGACTAAGAGTACCATCAATAAAATTTTCTGAAATCCAGTCATTTTACAATATTGGCATTAATTACAGATTATGTCAAATAAAAATGGAGGAAAAAATAAGGATGAAACCTGACTTATAAATCGGTTCCTTTGACACCTCATCTTCTTTTAATGCTGTTCAACACTTCAGATCCAGCATGACATTTTCCTGTGTGACGTGCTTGGTGCGCATGATCACCTGGGTACAGTGTAGATCTTTTCTCCTCCTCCATTTTCACATCAGACCTTTTTCTTTCACCTCACTTAATTCACACATAATTCAGTTTTTCTGTAATATGTCTCTATATTTTAAACTTCTCAGGTGCTGTTACAGTGTTAAATAATATATATCTTTTCATTGGCATACTTGTGAGTCTAAACAACTTTCACTGCTTTTTTGCTGTTTACTCATCACTTCAGCTGTGTAAGCTTTGCCCTAAATGGAGTTTTGTGGGTGTCGCCAAATGCTAATCAGCTGTGCTGCGCATGTGCCTGGTAATTTACAGGTGATTACGAAGAAAATCAGTGTTTCCGAAGCTTTTGTAAATCTGGCATAAATTTTTAGTTCGGTTTCACACAACTCACACAACTTTATTAAAAGATTCATAACTGAAACCCATTCCTCAGTTCAGGTAAAATCTACATGTAAATGAATCTCTCTGAAGATTCTCTGTCAAACGTGTCTTATTTATGTTGTATTCTTTTGTACCTTCTGAGGTTTCAGAAGACTCTCTCCTTTACTCGAGTCCACGTCAGCCATCTGAAGAGAAATTAGATTAGACCAAATTAACCCAGAGTTTGTAAAAATGAACAAATGATATATGATTAATAATAAGCTCCTGCTCCTGATAATCCCCTGGTTATCTGTACAGGCAGACGTTTATTGTTTAAAGCAGACATTTAAAAGGTCACTCTTAGTCTTATTCAGTAATTTGTCACACACCACATTGTCCAATTTTTACAAGGGCCTTAAAAATCTTCTGACAGATTTTAGCTGCAAATTAGATTACTTGTCAGATGAAGTTTTTTGAAGGAAAAAATGGTCTTTATTCATTTGTCTAATCTATATTAATCACATTGGATTTCTGACATTTTGTTACAATTGTCTATTGACGAAAACATGAACCTCTCCTGTACAGCATGACTATAAGGATGCATCAACTTCAGATTTCCAAGTTACATTATATCTTCATACCAATACATTGTCACAGGCGTGATGCAGTTATAGAGACCCTGTGGAGCTTTAATTTAGACTTTAACATCGCAAATTGCACAAAACTGTACCTTTTCATATGCAATACCAGACTTCATGCTTGCGGACATCACAGACACATTGGAGGCGAGACAGGAATCAGTACTAGAAGAAGAAATGTCACACTCAGAAATCAAGCAGGCACACACTTAACGCACACTGCTATCCATATGATGACAGTTATAACATTTAATTGTGTAACAACTTGCTCCATGTGTACAAAGAGAAAATTAAACCAAAGTTCCTTACATTAATGCTATGCTAAAATGGATAGAAGCGGGCACATGCCAATAATCAGTTAGCAGATATACACTGTTATCCATGACACTGTAAGATATGATTTCCCTACATTACAGCAGTAAGTCAGAAGCCAGAATAAGGACAGATGTCTTCTATATCCTTGCTTACTTTACCTTACTAAAAGTCATTAATTTGTCTCCCTTTCAAAGGAGCGTTGTTTGTGCTCTACAGGCAATTCTATCATTTTAGTTGTAATCTACAATTTTAGTGACACATCATGTGATACATGACAAAATGTTGGGTAATTATTGCGATTTAGAAATTTGACACTGGTCTACACCTATACAGAATAAGATGCACACATTGCATGTACACTCTGGGGCAACCAAAAAAAAAGTGCATGACATTCATTTCAACTGAATAAAAAGTTAACAACTTAACAATTAAACAGAAAATGCAAAATAAATTCCTGCGCAAAGAAAAAGAGCCAAGCCCAAAATGGCAAAATATTAAGCTTTTAATGGTCTTAACATCAAATCATTGGTCAGGAAATTATCCAGAATTAAACAGATAGATAAAGGAACTTGGTATGGGATAGAGTTTCCCTTTAATTTCTTTAAATGTTAAAGCCTTATGGCCCTATGACCGCATCAGGTGTGGCCAATAACCAAATAATCTTTTTTGGAAAGACATTTTTTGGAAAATTTTGTACACCCAGACATGTGTTAGTTTGAATTTTACATCAAACATTTTAATCATTATCATGATTTTACCTTCAAGAAGACTATAGAAGTGAGTTTCTAGCTTTTCCTCCCAAACAGTTCACTGCAGCAAAAGTAAACGAGTAAATGGTGGCACAGGAGCTCTCAGGAGTGCATTTGTTTCATTCTTGCTCAGTTTCTGACCAATGATTTGTTGTTAAGGCCATTAAAAGCTTAATATTTGACCTTCTTTTTTAAAGCATGATGGGGTGTGTTTTAGCAGCATGTCCTGAATGGTTTTATTTCTCTTGTAACCAAAGCAATACGATTTATTTATTAATGTGCGGGATGTCATACTTTTAAACCATTTATGCTTACACTTAATGTTGAATGTCCGCAAAACAAGTCATCATTTTTAACTGGTTGTTTCCCCTTTTCTTTCTTTCTCTCTCTCTCTCTCCTCACTTTGAATAATCAGCAACACTTTTGTGGCATTTTTTGCACGCGTATTGTGTGCAGAAATATGCGTTTGTGTGTGTGTGTGTGTGTGTATGTGTGTGTTTTAAAAGCCCTTTACAAACTACTGTTGCTCCTAAGCACACAATGTTTTTCTATATGAAGTGTTCAGCCAGCTCACAATGCAGAAAGCGCTTGAGGGTTGTTTTTGATGACTGTGCATGCTGCACACACACACACACACGCACACACGCACACACGCACACACGCACACGCACACGCACACGCACACACACACGCACACGCACACACTCCTGAAACACAATGCAGCCTGAAAGAGGAAGTGATTTTCTAGTCATGGAGAAAAAAATGAAGGAAAGGCAGGTGATCTCTTCAGTCGTTAGTCATGGGGAAGATGTCTCGTGTTACCGCAGCACATCATGACGTTTGTAATATAATGGATGCAATGTCAAGTAAAAATCAGCAACACACTTTTACTATATATTGCTAGTGTGGCATTGCAGTATTATACCAAGATGTTGTTCCCACATCCAAATCAACCTCGAATCACATACTAAGTTTAATAATTGAATGTATTTACTATGTCTTAATCTAGAACACACTTGTAAGCAGGTTCATACATGAATGCTTGGTTTAGTTTAACCACTGAAATTTTTGTCCTTAAAGATAAAATACAGCTGAGCCAACAGCACTGGTTCTTTGTACAGTGCTACCTTTCTAACTCAACCAACAGCGTTCAGTGTGCTATGTATAGTTTGTAAAAAATAAAAATAAATAAATAAAATAATAATAATAATAAAACATGAAAGGACATGCTGTTTTAGGAAAATAATCAATAAGTGGGTGATATGACGCTGTTATTGTTCTTTAACAACACATCCCAAATTGTTTTATTCCTTTTATACCACAACAATTTGTCAATTATTTGAATTTTATTTACTTTAATTTTTTTTTTATCACTTTATCAGTTACATTTAATGTTGCGGAACATCTGCAAAACAAGTTAGTTCCTGTAATCCCTCATGTTATAGCAGCTGTAACCAGCCTATCTTTTTTTCTGAATAAGACAAAAAAAAAAAAAAAAAAAAAAACAGCTTGTCATGTTACAGAGAAAGCGGGAAGCACAAAGTCCTGTGGCAGAAACTGAGTGTTACAAAGTGCTGACACTGACTCCATCCATAAATGTTAAATATATGCCTCTACACTCTTTATTAAATAACAACACATTTCCAATATTTCACAAGTCCCAATATAAATTGTTACTATAGAGACAATAACCTATTAGAGCGATTCATATAATTACAGCCAGCACTACTTTCCGAGTTGAGCTGTTATAGAAAATGAATGATCACCTCCTGACCAATCAAAATGGAGAATTCATCAGCACTGTGGTACAATTCATTATATTTTATGAATTCACCACTCATGAACTCACTACTGCAGTCATCTGTAGCCATCTACCAAAAGCCCTTCACATTCTGTTGCATGGTGCATGCTGGGACAGGTTCGTGCTGACATCACTGCATATTTGATTTACAGTTCATCTACTTTTTTCTGCACTACTTTTATTTCACAATGTGAACACACTAGACAGTTACATACACTCAAAAATCCCCTGGAATACTCCACATGTATGAGATTTGACACACTGATTCTACCATGATTATAACACTTTAAGGCCTTCAGTTATTAGAAAAGTGTCAATAACTGTGCTGGTTATATGATATATTACTATGTACAATATGCACTACATTGTTTTTGTGGCCACTTCAAATTATTGTCCCAGTGATTAAAAATAAGAAGCTAGTAAGTGAGCACAAGTGACTAATAACACGTGTTCAACACATGAGAAGTGAAAATGAATGACAGAGCTGAATTCTGAATGAGACACTGCTTTAAACTATCTACTGTAAAGAAAATTGCGGTATATTTTACAGTAATTTACTGCCATAAAGTACTGTAAAATTGACAGTAAACAACTGTAAAACACTGTACTGTTGTGTAAGGGTCCCTGGAGGACTAGTGGTTAGGCCACAGCGCTATCACCGCTGCAGACCGGGATTGATTCCCGGCCAGGGAACCAGCCACTGGGGTTGCGTGCAACAGTGCGCTCTCAGTGCCGGTCCCAAGCCCGGATAAAATTGTGGAGGGTTGCGTCAGGAAAGGAATCTGGCGTAAAAACTGTGCCAAACAAATATGTGGACCAAAGATCCACTGTGGCGACCCCTAACGGGAGCAGCCGAAAGAGGAACAACAACTGTAATGTTGTATAAAATAACACAGGATACAACTAAGCTAAAGGTTAAGGGTCTTACCCAACCATGACAGCTTAGCAGTGCTGGGATTTGAACACACAACCTTCTGCTCTGTGACTCAAAGCCTTAACCAATGAGACACCACAGCTAGCTTGCATTGATTCAGCTACTTCTACCACTGACTTAACTCCACTAAAACATTGCATTGAATCAATGCAAGCTAGTCAAGCTAGTCAAGCTAGTTGTGGTGGCTCAGTTGTATCCTGCATCAACCAAATGAGCAAAAGTACTGGGTTATGTGTTATTTTATACGATGCAAGATATTATAGTTCTTTACTGTAAATACTGTATGTTTTACAGTTGTTTACTCTAAACATTACAGTACTTAATTGGCAACCTAGGTTACCAGTAAGTGACTGTAAAATCTGCACTAAATTTTTAAGGTGTACAGTGAAATGAGATGTGTGTCTCTACAGCCCAAATCATTCAACTTACATTCAGTAAATACGATCTGAATGTTAAATAGGATTCAAAAGACATCTGATTATCTCTCTCTCTGGTGCAAACCACAGATGCACAAACAAAACTGAAAGTTCCTTTTATATGATATTCTTATATTATAATAAAAGTAATACGATAAATCCTAGATAATAAAAGTCTGTCGTGCGAACATTACACTTGCATGACACTGTATCCCTTTTTAACCCACAATTTACAATATTGTCACTGACAAAATGATTCTTCCTTCGAGGATCTGTTCCTTCCATCGTAATTTGTCATAAGTCATAAGTCATGGAGTTATGAAATGTTGCCTAGATTGAGAAGAGAACAAAAAAATGCTGCCATAACCAGTTCCAAAACTGAAGACAGACTTGGTCGTTATCTCTTCAAACTGTTGCCTACATGTAGGAGTCAGATCCCTACCTTCTATAGACTAGCACAAGCTTCTCATATACACAGAGCAGTTTTATAAACACTGGTAGGGTTATGCATTTTCTACCTTTGTTTTGACAAACATCATATGCACCTCACTAAAAATATACCTGTACAGTATCTTTTTCTAGATAGTAAATCATACAAACCAGGAATAACTCTATTATAAACGACTCATCTTTACTTAGTTAGTATATGTTTGACTTTGTTTGCATACTAAATGTAAACATTTATATCCAAGTACATTATTATACTAATCAATGCACTAACCAAACAACAATCTCACCTTCAATGCTGTTTTCCTTTATGATGAACAAACAGACTGACTGACTGACAATAATCATAAATAAATAAGCACTTATAAGAGAGAAATGAAACACAAGCTTTCCTGCACGGATATGTTTGTTTCCTTCCTCACTGGTGCAAGTGCGATCATGTGACCAGAGTTTAAAGCGCCGACCAATGGGCGGAGAGAAAGGCTGGTGACGTCATACCGCTTTAATGTCACTCTGAGTCAATATGAGAAAATCGATTGTATTTTCTACTATTTCTAGAATAATAGCGAAGACTATTAGATAGCTTATAGCTGACTATCTGGATGGCTGCCTTTCCTTCACACTCTGCTCCAGTTTTAAAAGTTTATTTAAAAGTTTATTTTGGTGTATAGGATTGAGAAAGGCGTTTCTGGGGCTTCTCCAGCAGAGGGCGCCAAAGGACCTTTCCTGTTCCTGGATGGCCAGCTAAAAAAGAGTCTATCAATTTACACACTCAAGTACTATATTTATCACTGCATTACTGGCTCACTCACTCACTTTCTGTTACTATTATCCTGGTCATTGTCTCTGGATCCCTGGAACCCTGGGTGTGAGGAATACACCCTGGATTGGCCACCATGCACACACATTCACACACTCATTCACACCTAGGGGCTAATTTATTTTAACCATTCACCTACTGGCATATTTTTTGGAGGTGGGAGGAAACAAGAGAACCCTGAGGAAACCCACGTAAACAGATGTGGAGAACATGCATACATACTCCACGCAGTCGGTAACCCGAGCTCAGGATTAAATCTAGGACCCTGGACCCTGTGAGCAGCAATGCTACCCACTAGGCCTGTGTAACTTCTATTAGTAAAATGCCTAAATAGTCTGCAGAAATATATATAAATACCCTATCTAGAACTTATTTAAGGAGCTTGTTAATTTATTTCACCTCTAGTTTAAAATATCCTGTTCATCTTTAACACCTTTAAACAAAAAAAGAATTAATTCCATTGACTTTAGACATTGTGCTAATTACTCGTTATAGTTAACCTACTTGTTGCTGTTAGTGTGCAATGTATTTAACTCTATTTTTTCACTACTGTTTCCATGTCTGTTTGTGATATCCATACTATACAATACCCCTTTTAGCCACAAGTAAATAAAATAATAACTAAAAAAAAGAAAGAAATAATAGGTAGCTTATAGAGGCCAATATGCTAATTAGGCTGTATAAATACAAGTTAGATCTATGAGCTTATAATGTTAATTCATTCCTACACACCTTAACCTTGTTGACATTGTTGCGTTCACTTCAGGAATCCTCTATATATAATAAGAAATGTTAGCAAGGGCTGCCAATTGGTTGATAACCCTGGATGTTATGCTAATTAGCTTCTTTATCTACAGCATGCTTCAGGGACTTTAGAGCTACTTTAAGCCACAATCACGCCACAGTCATATTTGCTTGCAAATTTTGCCAGGGTTTTGAAAAATCAGGCAATTATTGGCAGTCCTGGTGTGATATGTGAAAGTAGTGGGCAGATCATCTTATTCAGCTAGATAGTTTGTTATTACGTACTGCTAGCTTGTTAAGGCATTAAATAGAATATTATTAGCAGCTCCATTTAGCTAGCTTGTGATGGCTTGTTAGCTTCTACTAACTAATTGCTAAAATACGTATGTACTGTATGCACTTCCTGCTGTTAACTATAAGAAGGTCCTCAAGGGTTGCAAGCCGTCTGGTTTTCAGGACACCCGGTTAAAACTGCACACCCGGACACACAGTCTGAAAATAAGACTGACTAGGTGTTCTGTTTTAAGAGTCTTTTCTCTGGTTGTTGGAGTGTTCTTCCAAAACTTCCCAAACAAGCAACTAAATCATGTTGGTCAGTTTGTTTCTCACTCCCCACTCACACCCCACAGGCAGTTTATTACCTATTGTGTCATTTAGCATAATTGCTCTTTTTTTTTTTTTTAAAGCAATGGCCAATCATAAAGAGAGCTACAACATGTCACAGCATCTGAAATCCAAAATCTAAAATGAAGATGAAGCAAAAAAATATGGCCGAGAAATCCCCAAAAGGAGAGAAATTAAAAATGTCACATTCTTTTCAAGGTTGAAAAGTGCTGTAAACTATTCAGGCAGTGGTGGCTCAATGGTTATGGCTCTGGGGTTACTGATCAGAAGGTGGGGGGGTTCAAGCCCCAGCAGTGCTAAACTTCTGCTGTTGGGCCCTTGAGCAAGGCCCTTAACCTTCACTGCTCCATATCATGGCTGATGCTATGCTCTCTTCCTAATAAGCTGGTGTATACAAAAAAAGAATTTCACTGCTCTGTAATGTTGAAAAGAAGGCAACCTTAAGTTCCTTTATGCTGAATCTTCCAGAAAGACGTGACCCCTGCCCTGGAGACTATTGGCCCATGCTTCCAAGACTGGCAGATTCACAAGGTTAAAGTTCACCTTGGTGAACTAGATGCAAAATGAAATTGGAGGAGGTGGATGTGAAATGAACCTTTACCACAAGCAAAGCCGTTTATATCGCGTACCGCTTACTCTGCCATTCGGTGGATGGTCTTTTTGACCAGGTGGATTTTAATCACGTCCAGTGTGACCATGGCTTTACTCTGTTACAATGCTACAATACTACTGCTAATGTCACTCATATTATTTACTTTATTTCATAATTATTTTTTAGTCATCTTTTAAATATGTAAGATAAGTTAGCATTCGCCATGTCATTATTCTAATTACCATCCCAATCCTACAACCTAATTCTCGGAGCTCATAATGCAATATACCTTATTTCACTATGACACTTTTTTTATGGTAATGGCATTCACACTAGTCCATCTCCTTTACTGACATGTTTGTGATACGGAGTGGGTTTAGCATTTAACGCTTTATAGCCTGAGGGCCGTTATGGGTGAGTCAAGAACCTCCGCCACAAATCCAGGATACAATTAAAGAGTCAAGGAGAAGTGAAAACACACATGCACGCACACACGCACAGACACGCACAGACACACACAGACACAGACAAACACACACACATACGTTTAATTGACTGTTTAATGTACTTAATTTAATCATTCAGTATTATTTTGCCCATGTGTGGCCCATTTTGATGGTGTGTTTAAAAAAGTTTTACCTAGCCATGACACTTTTATGACCCACATCCTGCTTACCTGAGCAGGTGCCTCTAATTTGCTTAGATAAATATGTTCCTCAATAGCAAGTGAGTGCAGCTATTAAACGTCCTCAGTTACAGATCCGGGACTGACAACAGGATAAAAGTGAAGGAGGAACGACTATTTCTGTGGTATTCAACACTGTGACCTAGTTCTGTCACTGTTGTTCTCATTCTTCATTTTCTTCAGTTTTGTCTTGTGTATGCTTTCTTTTTAGCAGTTTTGTTTAATTGTTTAGCTTGACTGTTGGACTGCTGGAGCAGGCCTTTATTTTATAATTTCATCTTATGTTTGTTCTTATGTAGGCTGAATAGATTTCTTTAATAAGACACATTTAATCAAAATTCAAATTTTTTTGTAAGATGTCTATTCAGCAATAAGAGTTTAACCAACTTCATAATTCCTGTGAAAAATCCCTGGCAATGTGGATTTAACAT